TTCCAGACTCAGAATGTCACTAAAACCTTGGCAACCGAACATTCTTACTCACTCATCTTGACAGCAACAATTTTTGGAAAAACGCTCATGCTTGCATAGCTTGTGACACTTTCATCTACGTTATTTAGTACTTTGGCATCCGCCTGTCAAAAGACATTTTGTGTATCCAATATGAATTTTATATTAATACAGTACAGTGAAACTCCTCTACAACGGAACCTACATGGGCGAAAATGCCCCCTAGTGCGAAAAAATGTTCATGCATGAAAGCCATTCCCACTTTACTGCCCCCCCATAACAAAAAGTCCCCCTGTTCTGTTCTACGAAATCTTTTTCTCTGCTCTTGCCTCGCAACGAGATTCACTGCAACGAAAACAAGACTCCCACAAAAGTCTAATCCAACCTCAGCATGCCACAGCGACCTCTACTGCTTCGTTCGGAAATGGCAACAGCAACCACCACACTGGTTTATACATGCGCAGTAGTACAGGAAGTATTTGTTTCAGACGTAGCACGAACGTTGCATTGCTAAAATGGCGACAAAACGGACCTTTGCATACCAAGGAGTTAAGAAAAGAAAAGCTTTAACGCTTGAAGACAGGATAAAGGTAATAAAAATGAAAGATGGAGGAAGCAAAATAAAAGACATTAGGGGTGTTCACACGGCAACATTTGCTCCGGTGTTACGCCGGCGCTGCGCCATTATGCAAGAAATTGATGCAAGTGAAAGTAAATGCTGATCGTAAATTTCGCAATTTCTTTCCCTTTTTTTCTTTCTACGCTGACCATATGAAGTGTCAAATAAGTGTATGTTCATACTTATGCACTATTGGAATAAAAATAAAAAGTACATATATACGTTTTTGTGTGTGTTCGTGTTTACGTCTGAGATAAAATTTGCTACAGTGAAAAGTCCCCTGTTGTGAAAAATTTCTTGCTGTAAACATGATTTCGTTGCTGAGGAGTTTCACTGTATTTATCTGAATTCATTCTATTGTTGTATCTCATTACACTTCAGCAGCCAGAGCCTTCCTATGTCCCGGTGTGGGGTCATTTCTTGTTCTATGGTTATCATCACACATTTGCTGTTGCAGTCAGTGGTACCATTTTGTGACGGATGCTGCAGCTCTTGTGAATCCGTCTCATATGCACGACCCGGCAAAAGGAGCCCACAAATCAATTTTACGTATTGTGTGGATGCGGCAGTCTAACTGGTTGGGTTACATACACAAGCTCGTCTATTGTTTGACCCGAGGAAGGTCACCTGAACCATGAATGAAAGACAGAAAGAGAGAGCAAGGCATACTGCAATACGGATGCAAGTAGAGGATGAGGTTAAATTGGACCAATAAAATACGCTTAGGACATGCTGTGTCACTTTTTTTTTAATGATGCGATTGTCATGGAAGTGTGCCGTCATAGGGAAAAAGGTGATGTCGATCGTATGAGCCTTTGACTGACAGGGGCCGAAGAAAATAATATTTTGTTGTGGCATTGAAATGGCAAAGCTAGCCAATTTTATATATATATATATATATTTTTTCGAATCAAGTCTTCATATTTCAAGAAAATCGTTCTTTTGTAGAAAAGCCTACCCACACAGCACGATCTGATAATATAGTTAGATATGAGTTCATTATTATACTTCAGCTTGGTGATCAAACATTCCCAACATAAAAAAGGCGATTTTAACATATGCACTTCTTTCTCTGGAATGATGCAATTTCTGTCACGGGCAGTTAAAAAAAGAAATGACTGGCGGCGTAATTCCACACTCAGTGGGTGGGGGGCAGCCACTCCAGAGACCGCCATCTTTGGATACAAACAAGTCTGTCTTTCATGTCACCTTGTTGGCATCGTCGTGAGGACATCAAAATCATGACTTCAAAAGGTCATAAATTGCTGACATTCAATGAAAAAGCATAGCAAACTTAAATCAAATTGAACTTTGGAATGCACATACGTGCTAAAAAGTGAGTGGGAAAGTCACGGGCGGTTTGTTTTATGGCGCTTACAATAAAATAAATAAATAATAATAATAATAATAATAATAATAATAATAACAATAACAACAATCACTGGTCTCAAGCAGGTTTCATGACATGAGTGTAAAATGGGCAATATGGCTTCCAATCACCAAATGGCAGTTTGAGGCTAAGTGCAGGATAAAAGAAACAGATAAAACATGTTGAGACTACAAATGAGCACGTTGTTAGCGTTTAGCCAGAAAGAGTGACTCAGCATTAATCAGCACTTCGTGGGATAATGATTCAAGTGGGGGTCAATTCAAGGACATCAGCACACTACTCGGCGAGCTTTTAGCTTCCACATCTTTTACTGGCTGAGTGAAAGTATGAATTCAATCAACAGGAGAGAGAGCTGATGGAATTCGGTTCACAGACGATAAACTTGCTTGCTCTGTATCATATAGTAGTTCTCATAAACCTACCGGCCCGACAAGCTTGTTTTTCCAGCAAGAACATGAATAACATTATCCAGAAATAAAAATCTGTGAAAAGACCCATTTTATTGTCACTGATGAGCCTGTGATAAAAATACGTTGTCTCGACACATCACAGCAGTTATAGGGCATAAAAATGCTGTGCTCATCTTTCAACGTGCTTTAACAGTACCTCTTGAAAGGCTCTAAATATAGCACTTGCGCATACGCGCTCACACACGCACAAACACACATACGCTCATACTTTCTGTGATGACAGCCATTACAGATTGCTGTCATTATGTTTAACTTATTGTGTTTAAAAAAAAAAAATCAGAATTTTCCAAAAAGACTTTTTTATATACGCTCTCTTTCTCTCTTCCCCATCCGTCCATCGCAATATAAAAAGTCTACACACCCGTGTTTAAATTTTTTATGATATTAAAATACTGTCTGTAACCATTTAAAGTGCCTCTGATTCACCCCAAACCAATTTCACATCTTCGAGGAGGCTTTTCATGACATTATTTTACTTTGCGGCAGAAGCCTAAAAGGTCTTGTGCGAACCTTGACTGCTATTTGGAACTGTTCATAATTCTCTCACTCTTGACTAAGGTCCCAGTTCCAGCTCAGGAAAAAAAAAAAGCAGCCACGGAGAACACTTCACTGTCGAGGTTCCTTTGGTGATGAGCCAAAAAGGTCATCCTTGGTTTTATCACACCTGAACATATTTTACCACATGCATTTGAACAATTTTAACTGTGTTTTTGCAAAATGTATCTAAAAACAAAATCCATCTATCCATCTATTCGTTCGTCCCTCCGACTGTCTTATTATTGGGTCATCAGCTATTTGTCATGTATCGTTGGGTTTGCTGGTTTGTGCTTTGATTGTGTTAAATATCCCATTTTATTGCAGGTTTGGCATGCAAAAATGCATTTTCCCAAGAGGCCTGTAAAATTTGCTGACGCAAGGCGAGACCAATAAAGCCCCCTTTTAAGTGTAAATGTTTATGTCGAGTCATAAAAACGCAACTAGATATTCTCGAGTACCTTGATGAGCATGAGTATTTTCACATAGTCAATTTATGGAGTGAAGGCACTTTTCTTCGATTGCACTGAGAGTTGGTTCAGTGAGATGCACTTGGAGCTCATTGATTTTTCGCAATGTTAAAACGTTTTTTATTGACGTGGCATTTTCACCCTCTGCATAAAAGGTTAGAGGAGAGAGCCAGAAAGGGATACAAAAGGAAATGCAGCTCTCTCATAAGAAACTCTCGTCAGCAAAGAAGTGACCTTGAAAACCCTTAGTGGACAATAAAAGAGGACCCTGGATATCTCTCTGCAAACAGACAGAAAGTCACCCGAGATGATTATAAGATGGAGGAGTGCAACCTTTTTCACCTGTGAAAAGCAGCCCACCTCTATGAAGAACCCTGTCATTTCGACGTCATGATTCATGAAGGATTAGAGGCAACTGCCTTCGTGCTTGCACAGCACTAAATCATCGTGCTCTCCTTCCTCCCCCCTCCTCCTCCTTTTCTTTCCTCATAGAAAAGCATGCTTTCATTTCCTGATATTTCTCCCCGATTATTCATCTCTATTGTTTCTTAAAAGCATTGTGTGCGTGTGTGTGTGTGTGAGAGAGAGAGAGAGAAAGAGAGAGAGTGTTTCCGTTATTTTTTTTTTTAGAAATGAATGTTGCTATATGATGATCATTTCCAACTGCAAAAGCGACACAGTGACCAACTTTTTAACTGTGACAATGTGAACTAAAATAAATCAATTTATAAATCCTATCTGATAAAAAGAAGTGTAGCGAATTCATTGGAAACTGCGGCCGTCCATTTTGTCCACACGTTTGAAGCAAATATATTGTATTTTCACAGCGTAGTTATGTGTAGCATGTAAGAAAGTCATTGTTTTTGTTTTCAAGTCATAATAGCGGCATTGCTTCTTTGAGATTTAACAGTTGACCAAGGACTGCTTTCACCACATTAAGCAGATACGCCTCCAGCGTTTGAGAGAAAGACAAAGGATTCTTTTTATCTATTTATTATGATTTTGAAGCCTCATTTTAAGTATATACGGTAGGTTTTTAAACAACATGGTGGAGTGTCAAATTGAGAAGATGGATTGTTGACTGTCACTTCCTAGGTTTCGTTTCGACGAAGAAACCAAAATGGAACAATAACGGTCTGATCAAGTTTGCACAACTGAGGAAAACCTGATGGCATTAGCGACAACACCAGGAGGTCACAATATTGAAATTTGCAAAACACTAAGTGCATTTCTTAAAACAATCTGCACAAATAGCAAAACATCATGGTTGCTGCGGAAATACCATTTCTCCAATTCCTTTGTACATCAAAAGTAAATATTTGTGTCACTGAACGTCAGCGACGCCACGTCGGTGTGCCGATGTGTACGCAGAAAGAAATTCAAATTAGTTCTTCTTGTTGTCAATAGAGCCTAACGGTGTACTTTGAATGGATGCTCTGAAGTAAAGTGCCGCTTACGGTAAGTTTTGATGATAAATTAAAAGTTACACCCTCACGGACTTCATTTCATTTTTTACTGTTTGCGTGGTAATTTGTTGACAACCATTTCGTTGAGATACAGAAAGAAAAAGAGCACTGCCAAGCACACAGAAAGAAATTAAAACTAAAAAAAAAAAAAGTTGACGTGGACATGGGACTATGCCCTTTGGGAAAAAAAACTGTATGTGCAACACTGTCGAAATTACACTGCAGTGTTCCTGCTTCTTTTGGGCCACTGATTCTCATCCACATCACAACAATTATCTTCACTGGCTATCTTAGAAAACCGGCTCATTGCTTGCTGATCAAATGCTTCACACATTTCCCTCGGTTAGAAAGTCAAACTTTGCCTCAGGAAAAAAAAAAAGTTTGAAGCGAATGCGGAGAAATATGCTTGACATATTATGACCACCTGTTCAACCGTTTTACATGTCAAAACTTGAACTCATGCCAAGAAAATTCAGCAGAGATTCATCCTAATACATTTCGTATTACCAACGCAACCGGGAAAAAAAAACTCTAATATTGTCTGATGTGACTTAATTTGTTTTGGCAAGTCTGTAGATCCACTCCGGACAGTTCCGTTAACACCAACAGTAGACACGAAACCCAACACAACCATTACAATGCGATTGTTTACATCGTCTATGGGTGCATGCCATAGCTCCCAGCATATACAATACATCGCAGCCTCTCTCAACGCTTGCTCAGACACATGACATTTCGACTCACATTGTGCCAGTAGGTCCCTTTGTCATCCTCTGTGTGAACACGACAGGAAGTACGAGCGGAAGAGAAGCGTTGAGCAGCGGCGTGCCGACGGCCCCGTTGCTTCATCGCCCACCTCGGCCTCGGTCCTGAGGTCTTCCTTTGGAGGCTTGGCCTGCGGCAAAAAGATGAACGAAGAGGGCGGGACGTTTTGAAACAGAAAGAGGGGAGGCAGGCGGCACAGGTTAAAAGTCATACTCGAGAGCATGCGTGCGCTCGTGTGCGTGTACGTGCGAACATGACAAGGTCAATCGTGACGAAGCTTCTCGTCCTCGTGGTCTTCATCTTCATCATCTGCCTCCCAGATTTTTTCGCTTCATACGGAGGTGAGGGTTTTATGAAATGTGTGTGCACGTGTTTGTGTTCATTCCTTTTTCTGCCAGAAGTCCTTCTTAGTTGGTCAAAACCAACAAACCTGAAAAATGTACTTTCATTCCACATTTGGCCTGGGTAGGAGTAATTTAGGGCTTTATGTGTTATATTTTAATGCAGTGGACGGAGCTCCACGCCACCACTATTGTCCTCGTAGATGACTTCCGCAATGTATAACTGTGAAAACGCAATTTCCTCTCTTGGCTCCGAGCCACGTGCTCACACTCAGACGTTTCCTCACGTCTTCTTTTGTCATGTCAGACATGTTTGATATTCAATTTTACCCTTGTCTGATTTGTTTACCTACAAGGTTCTTTTTCTCCACTTCTTGCATATTCAAATAATATCTGCATTGTCCACTCTCTCCTTTCAGTGTCCAAAGTCAGCCTTGTCTGTTTGCCGTGTGAACGGGACAAGCGAGCGAGGAAGAGGGAGAACTGGCGTGGGAGTGCAGAGGCCGAGGTGAGAAGAAAAACGTCATGTGACCCGCCTCTCATCCCAGGAGGGGAGCGATGGCGTGAGACGTGTGATGAGAGAGAAGGTGACAGCAGCCCTACGACAAAGGATGCGAGGAGCGAAGACCCACACCTAAGATGGTACATGTGTGAAACACAAGGGAGTGCGACGGAATTGCAGAGTAACAACTCCTATTCAGGTACAAGTAAAGATACGATTGGCTGCAGTTTGAAAACGATCCTTAAAATACCCTCTCTCGACACAAGATAAGGGGTACGAGTAAACTTGAATTGCCTTTCTCCTGTTTAATACAGTGTTGCCACAGCTCAGTGACCTGGAGGTGTCAGTGAAGTTTGAACTTGGAGATGCTAACTTCCTGAAGCTCACCTTATATGGCCACAGTAATTCCAGCTCCCTGCATCTTCAACCAGCTGACGAGGAGACGGATGATGATGGAGGTCACAGTGCGGCATCTTATTGCTGTGGGCCAGTCCATCCCACTTTGGAGACAATCAATCACATCGTTTGTCTGCTGAGACTCTCAAACGACACCCTCTCTTCTGTCGCAGAAAATAAGAAGTTTCAAAAGACACAAGAAGGTTTCCGTGGGGAATTTATGACTAGCGTGTACCGTCACTACACATTCGCTACTGTACAACTTTGCTGTAATCGTGCTCAGTTTTGAGATTGAAAGCCTACAGAAGTTCTGGTTATTGGCAATATCGTCACGGCAGAATTGTTGATATAGCGCTTGTGCAAAGGGTACCTAATGTTGAGTCTGTTGTCCTTGAGATTGAGTTATTGTGTCTGCGATCTCTGTCCCAGATGAGTGGGGTGCTGTGTTCAGGATCCTCTGGCTGGTTCTCTTGTGTGCGGTATTGCTGACTTTGACCTCAGCTTTCCTCAGACGAATGAAGCGCAGCGGACGCTGTTGCAGTAAGACACGCGATCATACTTTCACTTCATTGCGCACGGCGTATCCAAAGTGGCAAATGTATTCAAATTTACCTGCACATGTTTTCTGTCCATCAGGGAAAGTACATCTTCTTGATTATGGCTTCCATGGGCAGCAGTTGACAGGTAAATGAATGAGTAGCTAGCTAGCTATGATATCTATCTATCTATCTATCCTATGGGTAATGCTGAATGTTTTGAATTTTTTATTTTTAGTAAAGTGCACATAAGGCACTAAAAACATCGTTGATTGTTCACAATTTATGTATTTACTTTACTAGTTTATTCCCTGAACTAGTGTGAACTGCATTAAAAAGGGCAGAGTGTGTGACAGGGGGTCAGCAAAATTACGGTTTTAAACTCGGGTTAGGGTTTTAGATTTGGGGGTCAAACTAGGGCTGAGGTTTCAAAGTGGAGTTTTAAACGAGGTTAATGTTTCAAAGTAGGGTTTCAATTGGTGTTTATGGGTTCAAATAAGGGTTTGAAAGTTTGTGTTACGGTTTCAAACTATACGAGAGTTGGGGTTTCAAATTAGGGTTTTAAACTTGGTTAAGGCTTTCAAAGTTGGGTTATAAATTGCAAATTTCCCCAGTGTGGGACAAATAAAGGTTATCTTATGTTATCTTATCTTAAACTGGGTTAGAAGTTGAAAGTGGGGTTCTAAACTCGGTTTAGGGTTTACATTTTTTTTCCATGTCACACTTTGTATCAAATAAGATACAAATCCGAAGTGCCTCTAGATTAGATAGAAGCAATGACAGAGATCAACATTCTAAACAGTAACTTCTGGCACATTTTTAATTAATGTGCATGCATTGAAAGTGACATGACTTTAATTATGAATTGAAACGCTTTAAGGGAGAAACCTTCATAATTACGAGCCTCGCCCAACATGGTCAGGTTAGTACGAAAAGAGAAGAAAATGTCATGGATTTTTCTTTTTCCCGGAACTGATTTTCTTTTTCCATGACAGGATTAACATCTATTGAAGAGGTCGAAGTAGCTGGTAGAAAATCATAACACACGAACATAATTCAGCACAGATGATGATAACAGTCATAAAAATACATTTGGATGGATGAATCTTACTGTTTACGATGTTCATGTCTTCATTTTTTCAGATGATGCAGAAATTGTACTGGATGGAAATGTGGACCACTGTTATGTGACTGGTAAACTGCATGGGTTTTCTCCGGGTACTCCGGTTTCCTCCTACATTCCAAAAACATGCGTGGCAGGCTGATTGAAGACTCTAAATTGTCCCTAGGTGTGAGTTTGAGCGCGCATGGTTGTTTGTCTGTGTGTGCCCTGTGATTGGCTGGAAACCGGTTCAGGGTGTCCCCGCGCCTACTGCCCGAAGGCAGCTGTGATAGGCTACAGAATGCCCTGTGACCCTTGTGAGGATAAAGCAGATCAGAAAATGGATGGATATGTCCGTGTTTAAAAATGAAGTTTGCGACCTAAGATGGATGATCTATTTCATTTGTAATCATTGACCACATGCATCTCACATGATTGTAAACAATATTTCTCTTCCAGCCAATCTTCATCACTGTCCAACAGTGACTTTCCCTCACGGAGGAGCTGAGCCGGTGATGGACAGGACACAGCTTTAGGCTCTCAAAGAAAAATGAACATGACATCATCATCATCATCATCATTCGTCCACGACTTTAATGTGAAAAAAAAAAAAAGATCTGGGATGCAAGTGAGGTTTAAAGTGACTTCATTTTCAAATGCTCATAAACATGACACTGCAAAGTATCCGGACGTAACCGATCATCTTTCCTAGACTGTATGGCTACAGAAACTCTTGTTTTTAATGGATCACTCAAAGGGTTGATGCCGCAGCGGATGGTTTAAAAGGCAACATTTGGCAGGACAGTAAAAATGTGTGGAACAACAACAACAACACAAATAAGAATAACAAAAAGTCTGAGCACATACCTGATCAGAGCATTTATTTCATAGCTACGCATGCCATTTGCATTGGATCCTGGTAGGGTGAATGTTGGGGAAATACATTTCGTTCAAGGCGATATAATTGGAGCTGTTAGATGTCAATATAAGAAAAAAATACACTAATCTTGAATACTGGCATTTTAAAAAGAGAACAATCCTCTTATGTCAGTCAAGGCAATGGAGTGCAAGTGTGCTTATACATATATTTTTTCAAATATATATTAATGTAAACACCAACGTGTTTTGGTTATGCTGTATTTTTGGGAGATTATCTTTGTATTAAGCACACTTTTAGCTCTTGTGGAATTTCTTTACCCTTTCTGTACAATATTGTGTGCGTGCGCGTGTGTGTTAGTGCTGCACATGTGCTGCTGGTTCTGTGCATGTTGTGCAGCGTTGACTCTCGATATGGGAGATCTGCAGGACAGGCAGCAGAAGTTGAAAGGCATTTTGGATGTAGTTGGTACTGTTGGAGCCCTGAGGACGACAGACCCAAGACCTCAATTAAAACCAGAGCACGCAATTTCAAAACAGAAAAATTGTGTTAGTAGGGAAGTTTTTAAGTCTTCCTACAATTGGGCAAGACAGCGCGGTCAGCAAGACTCTAGCATTGTCACTTGTTATAAAAGTTGAGGCGGAGTTGTTTTCATGCTTTTTAACTGACAGTCCTGAACGTATTTTTACACTTGTGTGACATTTCAGAACACATAATTGGATGTCTGAGGCGCACACCCTAATGTGATAATCATTGGTCATGAAAGAAAAGGCTTCAGTGTTTTAATATTAACAGTGTTGAATTTAAAGTTAAATGAACATGTGAGAGTGGAAAACTTCTGCTCTGGATTTTTTATTCATTTTGTTCCGATGGGAAGAAATGATAAAGATGACCGTATTTTCCGCACTAAAAGCATTCAATTTTCTCAAAAGCAGACGGTGCGTCTTATAAACCGATGCGCCTCATATATGGATCAGTTTTCTGATTTCTTGGACGTAGTATTTTAAATGTTCTGTAAAGCGCTTTGTTACAGCTGCAGCGGTTGTGAACGCTTGATACAAATAAAGCTGTATTGTATTGTATCCCCTTTAGCATAGCTCCATCTAGTGGATGCAGAACGCAACCCCGGCCCCTACTGTAGCTTCCATGCGCTCTATAACGCGGTGCGCCCTATATAGGAAAACGGTTTTAAAATAGGCCATTCATTGAAGGTGCGCGTTACACTCCGAAGCGCCTCATTGTGCGGAAAATACAGGCACATGGATTTAACAAAAATACAACAAATTGTTTTGTAGTCCAATGGAGAAAAACGTCAATCCATTACAGGATGCTGGTCAGTGACTGACAGTTTGAATTCCAAAAATATGTTATGGTCATATATTAGTAGAATATGGTTACACGTATTTATTCATTAAAAAATATACGGGATATCACCAATTGGCTAGAACCATTCACACAATTTCACAGGTAAGCACGAGTGTTGAACACCACGACAAACATCAAAGGTGCATGTAACCAAATATGTTTCCGGCTAACATTGTGACAACAACACTTTCTAATTCCAGGATAATGGAACACTGATTCTTAACCTATGGAGTTCGGCTCTCACCTCCAGCAGCACGCTTTCAATCAGCGGACTGAGCTCCTCAGCTTTCCTCTGACACTGACGATGAATGACAAGAGTGTGTATGAATTTACACAGAATTGGTCATCTCCTTTCAGCATACTGATTTCAAATCTTGCACACACTGGCTCGCACTTACCCCAACAAGGAGCAGCGTATCAGAGAACTTTCCGGCCAAACACTCCACCTCCTTACACATGGCGCATGTCAACCTGCCAGGAAAAATGGAGGTTGGAACAGGCCTCGCTGCAGTCACCGCATTAAACGCATATATACGCACACACTAACACACACTTACCTGGTGAGGACATGTGCCTGATCCCTTGCTGGTTTCTCCTGCTCTTGCTCTTGGCCATGTAGGATGAGTTCTGCCACCTTGTGGAGCTGCTCAATACTCCGGGCTGTCACTTCCGCCAGGCTGCCCACTGACGACATGTAGACAGCCTGCAGAACAAACACGGATGTGGACACGGACGAAATGAGATCACTGGTATTGATCATTCCATTAATGGCCCATCACAGTGACGACACCTCACCTCCACAGATTTGAATCCGTCCTCCTCCAACTTTGCTTCCTCTTCCTCCTGCTCCTCCTCCCTCTTCTCCTCCTTAGCCAATCCATCTTCCCCCTCCTCTCCCTGCTCCCCCCCAGGCTGCTCCCGCGTCTCCCTGCCAACTGTCTCCGTAGTGACAGGCCGTTCCACCTTGCTCACCCACTCGTGGGCGCTGATCCGAGCCTGGGGATGCACAATTACAAGCTGTCAAAGCTCTGCATCGTGATGTATTAGCATCACATGCATCTGCACGATTCGATTCAATTGGTCATAATATCAACAATGACGTTGCAGTTTGGGATCAACATTTATTTCCTACCATGGTGACACAATAAATGAATTGATTGACGAAAGATTGATTTTGTTTGTACTTTAGATAAGTTACCGTAGAGACTGAGCAGTCGATGAGGGTGGGCAAAATATGGCCCAGGGGCTACCTATGCCCCACTCCCTTCTTTCAACAATTTTATAGATTTTACATACCATAAGACATTTTTATATTTTATTACCTCTATCTACAAATGACATGGACCAGCTGTCTGTATTGAGATTTTAAAAATTAAAAGTGGCCCTGGAGTACAAAAGTTTCCCTTTCGCTGCTGTAGATGCCTAAAAGGCACCGTTTCTTCTGCAGCCCAAGATACAAACAGTTGTGTTGTGTACATCTTTTACCTTATTGAGTTTGTCCGGCGTAGCAGCAATATGAAGCTCAAACAGCAACTCAGTCAGAACACTCATAAACTCTTCGTCTACTTGATCAGCCTCTACAGAAATACGCACACGAACACACACAAACAGAGACACTTGAATCACTTACGGTCATCATTCGGAGCGTAACAGCATATCACGATATTGTCAAAAAAGCCTTCATAGCCACAAGAAACCCCCCCCCCCCCATAAATAGTCGAGGTTCAAACGCCGTTGTGTAACGTCATGCGTGACTTGCACTAATCTTGTGACACTTCAGCAAAACTCAAGAGACGCATCTCTCATCAATGATAGTAACCATCTTGAAAAGAATGGGTGCCATCAAAGTTGCTAATGTTGCCATTACGGTAAAAAGGGTGTGCTGCGCGTCCATTAAGAATGCTTTCCCATCTTTATGTATAGCGATGCACAGGAGAATGACAATTTGCAGAGGTGAGTAGCCAAAAATTATCCTCAAGGAACCTTACGAAAAGCAAATGGTTCTAACTTGAGTAAAATGAAGTGTCCAATCAGTACCCAAGTAGTGACTCTCGGTTTCAAAATGGTTGGTGACCCCTGGTTTACAGGCACGTAGCACACAGTAGGCTCACCTGGCAGACATTATTAACTGTATACAGTATATATAATTTGATTGCAGTGATTTTTTTTTAATTTATCAGCAATGCTGACCTCTGTTTCATTACTCAAAAACAACACAGGTTCTGCCAACTTAGGTCTTTGCCTTCAGTACTGTGTACAATTTTTTTTCCTACCTTTTGAATGAGGACAACCGAACAAACAAAGTTACAGTAAATGGATCTGAGTGGGTTGGAAATAGGTGAATAGTATACGGCATTATACCTACTCTGACAAGTACAATTTATCCCTAAAATTAACTTAGGAAAGTGAGTAAATATAGCTTGTCATTACAGTGAAGAGAACGTTTTTTTTAAATTGAAAAATAGTTAACGGCAAATGCGGCCAACTTCTTTTTACACTTGTATTACAGTAACATTTTACTATTGCTTCAAAATTGCTGATACAGTTAAGGAAGATTTTACAATAGCGAGAATATTTCCAAAAGGGAAACGATATTAAATTCAAATTGTCACCACATAAATTACCTTTCGCCTGCTCTTCATTCCCAGCCTCCTCTTCCTTTTCCTCTTCTCTCTTGATGAAGATATCCTTGATGAAAATAAGCTCCTTCTTCACCTCCTCCTGCTCTTCTTCCTCAAGGGAGGAGAGGTACTCCTGGACCTGTGGGTGACTTGGCTTTATTTCTCGATTCGCACTCTGCTGGACAAAATATTTCGTCTTTCCCTAGAACTATGGGCTGACCTTGGCCTCACTTTCGTTGGACAGGATCTCGAGAGCCTCCAGGTGGGACAAGCCCTGGTAGTCATCAAAAAGAATCCCATAATGAGCCGTCGGTGCGCTGATGGGCTGGTTGCTCAGACGTGCTCGCTCCTTCTCCTTGGCTTCCTTCAACATCTACAAAACAACAGGGACCAAGGTGGAACCATGCCGAGACGGGGCGTGATCGCGTCCTGTGAATGAGTGTGACGGAGAGCTTCATGACCATACCTGGCTCAACGAGGCGGTCTTCTGCATCAGTGTCTTGGTCTTTTTGAAACCCGGATCGCTCTCAGCCAGAACGGTCATGGTCTTCTTTCCAATGAACTCCAGTGCATCTAGGCCACCGCTGATCACAGATTTACCCTGCGGTTCCAACATGATATAAAACAGGGGCGGGGGGTTATCGACTCAGGTCAAGATACAAAATTGTGGGGACTAAAAGAGGAGTTTGCAATTTCAGAACAAATCCCTTTTTGTCATTGTGGTTAAAATTGTCAGTGTGATCTACCGGTAGTATTTTGTACATGAGGAAAAAGGTCTTTGGGAAAAACAAACAAACAAAAAAACAGCCCATTCTGGCCTCCTCTATTTTTAACAAAAAATATTACATTGGGAGTGATGAGCTTTGCTGACACCATGAGGGAATATCCACATCCCGCTAGCAACAAAAGTTTAAGTAAAAGAACTGGAGAGATCCCAAGACAAAATAAGATAAAGTATATAGGAGCTACTTTTCAGATGTGGAGTCACGGGGCCGAGAGGAGGAGATGGAGGAGCAGAAACGGCGCAGAATTGGCAACATTTCTGCTTGACAGGTAAATATTTCAACTCTTTTTGAATTGCAATTGATTGCACATACAAAGTTGATTAGTAGTAATACAGTGAAACTCCTCTACAACGAAATCATGTTTGCAGCAAGAAATTTTTCACAACAGGGGGTTTTTCACTGTAGCAAATTTGATCTTAGATGTAAGCACACACACACCCACACACACAAACGTATGTGTACACGCACACACAAACGTTTGTGTACTCTATTTTTATTCCAATAGTACATAAGTATGAGCACACACTTATTTGACACTTCATATTGTCAGTGTAGAAAGAAAAAAAGGGAAAGAAATTGCGAAATTTACGATCAGCATTCACTTTCACTTACATCAATTTCTTGGAAAATGTCTTTTATTTTGCTTGCTCCGTCTTTCATTTTGATCACTTTTACCCTCTCTTCCAGCATCAGAGCTCTTCTTGTCTTATCGCTCCTTCTCCTTGGCTTCCTTCAACATCTACAAAACAACAGGGACCAAGGTGGAACCATGCCGAGACGGGGCGTGATCGCGTCCTGTGAATGAGTGTGACGGAGAGCTTCATGACCATACCTGGCTCAGCGAGGCGGTCTTCTGCATCAGTGTCTTGGTCTTTTTGAAACCCGGATCGCTCTCAGCCAGAACGGTCATGGTCTTCTTTCCAATGAACTCCAGTGCATCTAGGCCACCGCTGATCACAGATTTACCCTGCGGTTCCAACATGATATAAAACAGGGGCGGGGGGTTATCGACTCAGGTCAAGATACAAAATTGTGGGGACTAAAAGAGGAGTTTGCAATTTTCAGAACAAATCCCTTTTTGTCATTGTGGTTAAAATTGTCAGTGTGATCTACCGGTAGTATTTTGTACATGAGGAAAAAGGTCTTTGGGAAAAACAAACAAACAAAAAAACAGCCCATTCTGGCCTCCTCTATTTTTAACAAAAAATATTACATTGGGAGTGATGAGCTTTGCTGACACCATGAGGGAATATCCACATCCCGCTAGCAACAAAAGTTTAAGTAAAAGAACTGGAGAGATCCCAAGACAAAATAAGATAAAGTATATAGGAGCTACTTTTCAGATGTGGAGTCACGGGGCCGAGAGGAGGAGATGGAGGAGCAGAAACGGCGCAGAATTGGCAACATTTCTGCTTGATAGGTAAATATTTCAACTCTTTTTGAATTGCAATTGATTGCACATACAAAGTTGATTAGTAGTAATAGTGGGAATATTTGGCAGTTTTTTTTTTTTTTAATCACTTCAATGATTACCTCAAAAACAAAACTGGATCAAATGTGGAGCCGGGGATTGTGCACAATGGCCAGAACTTCCTTGGCAGAGGTAACAACAGTAAAATATTTCGAGGCAAGTTTTTCCATGAGTAGCAGGATGATGTTTGCTCACCGTGTTCTGTACAACATTGGAGATAGCAGAGAAGACGCCCCTGTTGGAGGCCACAGCGCTGGTCGTGGTCGACTCTTCATGACCTGACAGCTGGTCGCTCTCCCCTCTTCCCTCCGGCTTCTCCTCTGTTGTGTCCTCCTCTTCCTCTCTGGCCTCCTCCCCCACGGAGGTCCTGTGGAGACGCAGAGCTTCTCCTGCCTTCACCTTGACCGACGTCAGACTGTGACCTGTTACGCGTCAAGAGAAACACATGAAAATCCACCGAAGACAGAACATAGAGGGGAGAAGGATGAGGTCATGTGTGAGACGTACCCACTGTGGAGGTGGCGCTGCTCAGGAGGGATTTTCCCCATGAACCCCAACCTCCCCAAGCTTGACGTGAGCTCTGCACACAACGACATATTTTCCGTACATGTCGCAACCTCTCATCATCTATTTCATTCACACCTACTGTGCCATAACACATTAGAATAGGTCATCCGGTGTGCTGGAGGAATTTCACATTTTCACCCCCCATTTCATTCTCACAAAAAAAGATATTGTGGATATTTAGGTACAATATTGAGCAAACTGCGATGAGCGCACATTGTCGAAAATGAAAGTATTGCTTTCATCTTGTGGCATCTGGTTACCAATGAACTATGTTGGCGTGAGTTGAGGAGGTTCATGGATTGCTTTGGTGCCATCTTATGTCATCTATATGTAATTACAGTTGTGCTCATGTTTTCACATACCATGGCTGAATATGTGAAATATTGGCAATTTTGGTGGAAAATATGACTGGGGACTGAACAGGGACCATCTTTTCATTATTTCATTGTTTTGCTGAATCATTGTGCTATTTTGGAATACCTCATATTTTGAGTCCGATTAGAAATAACCAAAGGGGTTTTGCCTGGCCAATCATCCCTTCTTTCAAAAATGTTACACAACTTACAAATTCCGCCAGTTACTCACACATTTTCACTATTTGCAACAAGGCTCGGTCCCGAACACTGCACGTGTTTGTGTCGTAAAACAGGAACCTCGGCTCCAAAGCTGGGAGGACCGATTGTTTTTATTTTAGCTTTACCTGTACATCCTTAACATTTCTCAAAATGAATCGACTGCATCGATCTCTCATGCTGAATGACTAACCTCCTGATCCTTCTCCTCCTCTGTTGCATCTGGCTCCAGGCTCACTGATTGGTCACATTCAGTCAGATGACCGTCACACTTCAGATGACTCTCGGAGGAAGTTAGGGTGTCTCCGGTGTCCTCGGTCGCCACGTCGGTGGTCTGCAGGGCACTCTCGGGGATCTGTGAAGGCTGCTGGGTTTCGGCGGACGCTGCGGGGTCTTCAGGGACATCGTGCCCACAGCTGAGGTCAGAGTGCGTGGTCAGTCCAGGTGGAGGGAGACTCTCTGCATCAGACGGGGCAGACTGTGACATCGTGATCTGGAAGTGGAGATAATTACTGTTTTTAATATATTGGACATGATAAGGGAATCTGGGATGGTATCTATGCGGTGGGGAGCCTGCTGGACTCATCATTATCAGAAGGACTGAATGAGAACACACAAACTCAACACAGAAAGGCCGGAATCAAAATTTGAATGCCGACCCTCAGAATTGTGAGGCTGATGTGCAAACACCATGGAATCTATAGTCTCTTCATTATTCAATTGCGCCATAATTTTAAAAAATGATTTAGTATGGCCAACGGGCCAATACAGGAGTGAAGAGGAGTGCAAAATGCATCAATACTAAATTCACTGTATGCAGAGAGGATAAGATTAGATGAAAAGAATTTCAGATTGATTTTAATATCAAGTCATCCCTATTAATGTGCATAAAACTGCCAATCTACATCCAGTACATGGAAAATAACATCCTCTTACCCTTCCATATTCTCGGTTCAGTTACAGACAAATTCAGAGATGCAGTATTTGATTGGTAATCAAACAAGAGTACCACATTGCCACCTGCTGGTTACTGAGTGCACATATACTGTATTCACAATCACAGCACTTGTCTTGTTTACACTCACTTTGTGCAGAAACTTTGATGCGGGGGAAAAAACGAGTTTTAGACCTCAACCAGTGTGCGTAAAATAAATATAGGACCTTAGGGCGGCAAGGCTTGGGAGAAACAATGACGAAGACACGCTGACTTGTATGCCTCATCTGTTAAATGAAACCAAAGCATCCACTTAAATGTATGACAGTAAAGTAAAAGCCGGGTGTCAGAATTTGTATTAACTATTCGTACTACGAATGCACATGAGAACTTCCAAGAAACAGCAAAATACGTAGCACCGCACAAGACTGCAATTATATACCTATACATTGTATGACTAGCGAAAAACGCCTTCAACAGTGCAGATAGTTTAGAGAAATATGTCTGTCATGGAAATTGAAAGCTGGACAACTTTGTATTGTTTTGGTGTGTAAAAAAAAAAAATGACAGCGCAACTCACCCGTTTGGTACCAGCCGACGGCTCCTCTTCCGCCCCGCCACGTCGGCAGGCCGGTGAGTCTCCACATCGAAGAGTAACAACAGTCAAGAGGTTTCATCGCGATTTCCTCAAACGGTCGTCTCTAGGTCCACGGAATAACACCGAAGAGCAACAGCCGTCAAGAAGTTCCCTGGTCCTCCTCGGTCCATCAGACATTTATTGTATGCATTTTTGCATAAAAACGGTGAAGATGATGTTGCCTCCGAGTAACATATGTCAAAAATAGTCATCTGTGCCTACGCGCAAATATCGTCCTCGGAGTAACAAGGCCAAGATGGTATTCTTTGTTCTTTGCACATCACCAAGAGTTAAAAAGTTTGATCACACACATGCTAAAACAATAATTATTTGTTTTCGGTTCGGGCAATGACAACACTGACGTGCAAGTCCAGTGCAAGGCAATCGGCGACAAACTCTGAATGATATTGGCAGTCGAACCAAACGGAAATTAAATAATAAATTTTCTTTAAAAAAATTCAAAATAGGACATTGAGGCGTGGCTCGTTGGTCTAGGGGTATGATTCTCGCTTAGGGTGCGAGAGGTCCCGGGTTCAAATCCCGGACGAGCCCCACTTTTGCACCTCTCACTTATTCCGAAAACACACAACAAAGATAACTGATAAATAGTCTCGAAGAGTAACTACCCTTCAACGAAACAAACCTTTTTGCATAAATCAACTGTAATGCCACTAAGTTATAAAACTACAGTAGAACTTGTGATTCTTAAAACCCTGTCCATAAAATATTGATTCCATAAGACTAACTGAATGAAATGTTTTGAGGTACTCCAGGGCAGCACTGTGCTCGAGTGGTGAGCACGTCTGCCTCCCAGTGCAGAGGTGCAGGGTCCGATTCCAGCACCGGCCTTCCTCGGTGGAGTTTACATGTTCTCCGCGTGGCTGCGTGGGTTTTCTCTGAGTACTCCGGTTTCCTTCCACAATCCAAAAATATGCATGGTAGGCTAATGAACATTCTAAATAGTCCCGAGGTGTGATTGTGAGCGCAAATGCTTGTTCGTCTATGTGTGCCCTGCGATTGGTTGGCAACCAGTTCAGGGTGTAGCCTGCCTACTGCCCGAAGATGGCTGGGATAGGCTACAAACGCATGCCCGCGACCCTCGTGAGGATAAGCACATTGGAAAATGGATGGAAGGAGGTACTACAGACTAAAGCAAATAAACATAAAAAACCCACAATTCTGACAATAATAGCAATAAGTTTATTAAGTGGTATGAATATTTTGTTTTAAAACAAATGCACAATTGCACACACATCTGTAGTTATGCTCACATTTTACACATTCCCTTTGAATTACCAATGTAGATTAAAAGGAGATAAAGTTCATGAGAGACACAACATTGCAGAAATGTGTAATATTTTTCATTATTATGAGTATCAAAATCATGCTTAATAAAAACCTGTAATTGCCCTTTCAGTCTAACAATTAGAAAATATATATGAATATAATATATAATATATATTACAACTTATATTTGCAGACAGACAAAAACCTTTACAAGAAAAAAAAAAGGAAACTGCTGATCTGTTGAGCCGCTACATTCGGGTATGTTTAGTTTATGTGGATCAATGTATGCTTTTGGGAATGCTGGTTTGAATCTTACCTATAAAGTGCACACAGCATGGAGACATGAACACACTCACACAAACACACATTACTTGTTTCTCTCTTTGTTCTCAGGAGGCTGTAAAGAACGGACAGCTAAATAAGGGAAATTTGATTGGAATTATGTTGGTACATAGAAATATTGAAAGCAAAAAATGTCCTGTCCGGTTCCTTGCCTTGAACGCTGACATTTCCCAAGTAAAAGTGTCTCAAGAGAAAAACTTAGATTGACACTGCATCACAACCTTCCCGCGCTCCAAAAAGATCATATTATAGATATACTGCTGAAGCTTGATATAAGAAATGAGATATTTTGCTGCACTTAATATCCTTATGCATGTCCTGACCGAAACAATATAATGCCCCAAGTACAGCAACGTTCACATTTCTAAATAAAAACAACCAAAATACTTTCTAACCCAGATTTCATTAAGTGCATTTTTCCTGCATTGTGTTCCATTAAAGTGTGCACATAAGAGAACGCATCATTCAAGCTTTTCGAAGCAGATGAGGTGTGTGTTGTTTCAATTTGGGGGACTAGCATTAGACGAGTTAGCCACATTGCCCACAAGTAGGTGTGATGCAATACAATGCGAAAAACTTCACATTTCGTTGGCCCTCAAAGACAAATTAAAAAAAAAAAAAGAGTTTCCTTAAACATGAAAAGTTTGTTCATGGTGCCTATGTGTATGGAAAGCACTTTGAGCATTTATTCCAGAACCTTGTTCTCCAGTTTAAGGTCCATCCACTGGTATGCCCATTGGCCTCACTAGTAAGACCATAAAAAACACAAAATAGGATGACAAATTAATGCTCATAGGGAGCTGGTTACAAGTACAAGTACATGGACCCAAAATTGGAAATCAAGCGCTTTGGCATAAATTCTCCAACGGCTTTCCGTACGTGTGTGTTTTGTAAGGCCACAAGGGGGAAGCACTCTCAAACCAGCTGAGATGTTGCAATCACTTTCAAAAGAGAAAATGTTTGGATTCCCCAAAATGTAATGGCAACATGCTGTGAATGATTCAAAGTTTTTTTGTTTTTTTTTTGATGCAGTAGGATACCAGCTCATATTCAGGTCAAAGAAGTGAAAGCGTCACAGCTTGCCCCAATCCGTACATTGGAGTCCGATATTTATACCCCCAGCCCCGCCCCTCAAAGTCCAAGTGGTACAGTCCAATGTTGAATTCAGGACCAGGTAGCTGAAGTTGTCCTGAGTTGAAGTTTCACACCAGGAGGTGGCGCTTTTTGTGCAAGGCCAGGTGGTCGGAGCGGGAAAAGCTACGCTCGCAGTCAGGACACTGGAAAGGTTTCACTCCCGTGTGCTTGCGAAAGTGTCGTGTCAGCTCGTCGGACCGGGCAAACTTCCATGTGCAGCCTTCCCACATGCACTTGTACGGTTTCTCGCCTGCAGGAGCGCACAAACACATTCACGGTTCAAGGAAAAAAAAAAAATGCATGAACACTGTCGCAACACAAACTGCACAAGCTAAGGCGTTTCTCGAGCTTCACTGAGCCAAGACACACACGTCACATTAAAAACATCTCACAGCACGCCACCTAACTTTCTAACGCAATTGCTAATCAAAACAGTAGCACCCGTTGAAACATTCAGTGGCTTAAACTTACCATATGTTGTTAATAAGTTCCCTACGATGTGTTAAAAAATTATAATAACTTCCCTTCTGGTGGCCTTGCCGTGATCGCACAATGTTGTGCACATCCACATTCATGCTCTGGGCAGCTATGCAAAATTTTTGATTTGCCCAGGTGGCCGAATTTGCTGAAAATTAGCTGCATTTCGCCGTGATTTGTCTGTTTTATACTTAGAGTAAAACCCTATTTACTGCAGGTGTTATGTTTCATCGAAAAGGCTGAAAAGTGCATTGGCAGGCATGATTCTCCTTTCCCTCATGCGAGGTGCATTACAGTACTGTATTTTCCACACTAAAGGGCGCACTGGATTATGAGGCGCACCTTCAATGAATGGCCTATTTTGTCGTTTTTTTCATACATTGGGCGCACCGCATTATAAGACGCAATCTACAATGCCTCCACTAGATGGAGCTACACTCAAGGAAACGCCAACAGAACGATCAGATGTCAGTAAAACTTATATAATAAAGCAGCGACACAGTTCACTTAACCAACAGCAAGTTATAACATTGACTCGTTAACGATGGACTCTCTCGCCACTGCTCTATTTCCGTGTTCACCTGCGGAACCGGTCGCTTTAATTTTGAACTCTGCGTTGTCAGCATGTCTCGAGCAAGGAGCCATTTTGGGGTCGAAATATTACCGTAATGACCATACACAAGGCGCAACGGATTTTAAGGCGCTGTGAGCTTTTAAAAAAATGGAAGGCTTTTAGGAGCGGAAAATACGGTAAGTAAAAACAATAGCTTAAAAAAAAAAAAAAAAACAAAGGAGGAATGGTGGGACAAACATTAAACCGCGAGAATGGGGCAACGACGTGCTCCTAAAATATGTTTGTACAAATAAACACCTCCCACCACCTGCAGTTACACTACTGTTTGCTGAAATAAATTTTTTATGCAGTTTATTGTGAATGACATTTTCTGTAGTGTATCTTACAGAGAACTGCTTCTAATATTTGCTGGAGTTGTTTTTTAAAAAAAGTATATTAAAAAAAAAAAATTCTACAGTATTACACAGCTCTACCTTTTCAGTAGGATGCAATGCAGTTCAGCACCACTGCACACGGGCTCTTGCACGGTATTTATTGTACTGGGGGACAGTCGACAGTGCGGATGTACCTAATCTTGTGTCACAAAGCGGAAGATCTCACCTGTGTGCGTCCTACGGTGCGCTTTGAGGTGTGAACTCTTTGTGTAGACTTTGTTGCAACCAGAGAAATCGCAACGGTGGATTCTTCTCTTCTTCAGCGTGTCTGGAGAGTCAGCGGGGAGAGGATGCTGAGTGGCCGAATGGACAATAACGGACGGGTTGTTGCCCCTAAACACACGGGAAGAAGAGAATGGTTGAGATTTAACCAGCAGGAGGAGTCGGTGTCACATCATAGCGGCCTCCTTTGCTGGATGTTGAAATCACCCGAGTGAACTGTTAGTTGGCAGATTCAAGTGGCAGCAACCCTCCGGCACAAAAATAACAACTGCCTGTCGGGAAGTTGAAAAACACCTCCCACTTTTTCCAGCGCACCACACCTTTTGGTTTGGTTTCGTCATCTTTTGTCTTTGAACGGGCTAAAAATAGTCCAAGTACTGTGTAAAAGTCCACAACGTTCATCAATTAATTAATGAATCTTTATTTAGACATAAAATGGTAACAGTGGAACATAATTCATTAGGTCACACTTTTTTTTCCCCTATTTTTTTTTTAAATTCATGACTATCTTGTCATGAATTTGAGGTTCGAGTTGTTTTCTTTGTCATTTAAGCATTTTAAGTACT